GGTGGTGGCTCTTCCACCCGGGGGCACTCCGACGATCAAGTCAGTATATCTCTCAAAGATAATCAAGTGCTAAACTCACTATTCAAAGCATAAAACTGCGTACCTCAGACCCACGGGATGCCTCTCTTTTATAGCCAACTCAATCCTGATCCCACTAGAAGCCTGACTTCTATGGACTCCCATTCAGTACTTACTTTGGACTCTTCAAGAGACAAAGATAAACTCCCTAAGAGTTTTATCCTTATTTTGGCTAAGTCTCCTCTTTTCTCTAGGACTCTTGTCCCTTATCTTTTTGTCCATTTATCTCGGATTCCGATATCTTCGGAGATAACCTCAGCCTTGCCGAGATAACCTCGGCGTCACAACCTGTACACGTGGCACCTCGGCTGACACGTCGGTGTCACCTTGCCACATATTGGTATTCAGAAAATACATCCCCACAATTGCCCCCTAGGTTCTATTACCTCGGTATTCTAAGCTGATAGAACCTATATCTGTATTTTTTTCTAGTAAATCGGCTTAAAGTTTGATAGCCGAGATCATCCATTTCTGGCTGACATGCTTTCCCTAAAAAATCAAGATTTTTAAGGAACTTCTCACGCACATGAGCTGTCATGCACTTCAACCCAACCATTTCATCCACGCATTTCCTACTTACTGGTCCGTACACGTGACGCGCCAGTTAGCCACCTCTTTTCTCACGTGCGCCGTCTGACGTCCTCGTTCTTCTAGGCGTATTGATTACTTTTGCCGCCGTTTCTGTTTAATCAAAAACCCTTCTCTCTTTTTTCTGTCTTTTCACTTTTTCATTTCGAATTCCCTGCTCTCTCTCTCTAGCCTTCGAAATCCCCCATTGCTTAAGCTCCAAAGCTCTGCAACCTCCTCCATTCAACCCTTCCAGCGAGATTTCCACCGGTCTTTTGCTCCTGAAATCGTCATAGGACATCGGCAAATCCCTTTCCGATTTCCCTTTTTCTGGTAAGCTACTGCTCCTTTCGTTTTCAGTTCCTGATGTTTCTTCTTTCTTACTATCGCCATTATTGTACTGTTTCAAGCTTTTTTAATTCATAAATCGTACATCTGAACGCATTCATCCATGATTTTGCCTTTGCCTACATTTTGAACACACGCACTGTTACACTACTTCTTTACACTTTTGCCATTGTTCTTGGCCATATACTCTTGTATTCTTCATGTTCTTGATAGCCCATCTCAATTCTTGTTTCTGAAACTTTGTTTTTGTTTTCTGTTTTTTGCATCTTTTCCAGATCTGTGCCTTTGATCTTCATCTTCATAGCTTTAGGTTTGGGATTTGTTTGTAGAACCCATAACTTAGAAAAAAACTGAAACATTCCTTACAAATTTATGTACCAGCCTAAATCTAGGTTTTGCCGAGGTATCATTAATAAGAAATATCTTTTTTCTGAATTTCAACCCTTCTAATTCTGGCCGATATCATGGGTATGTGGAGACACAGGGTAGATACCCCGACCAAACTTGAGTACTTTAGACAGGAGTTCTCCATCCCTGCCGATGTCCATCTGAGACTGGCTGGGGATAATGACTCCATCATGCCTACAGGAAACGCCATGCCCCTTCCCATTGTAGCTTTTACTGAGTGTGGACTCCGGCTCCCACTCAACATCATTTTTCGCGAGATCCTTCATTATTATAAGTTGAACCCTATGCAACTGGCAATCAACTCTTATCGAGTGATTTTTGGAATTATTGCCTTAACTAGACAATAAAACGTTAGGATCACCCTAGCCGATATACAGTATTGTTACACCATGTGTGCCCTTAACTTGAAAGAAAAAGGCTTCATTTATTATCTTAAGCCGAGGTCTACAGAATTCAAAATCGTAGCCGACCTCCCAGACTCCAACAAGGGGGCTGGAGATGACTATCTTATTACCTCGGGAAATTGGGAGTTTGCTCCAGACGAGGACATCCATCTCTACCCTCTTCCCCGATCCGTTTTAGAGGGCAAGGGTAAGAGCCCAGCATTTAGCTTTGCCTGTTTTTTTTTTTAAAGTCTTAAATATTTTGTTTGTTTCTGACGCCTGTTCTTTTTGCAGCTGTTCGTCAGCCACCAAAAAATTTTCGCCAATCCTTTGTCCCCAGTAAAAACTTGAAGAGACTTTTGGATTTGCCAATCGAGAAGCGAAAGGCACCCCTGCTTCTCAACTTCATCCCAACATACAAATCAGCTCTCCCCGACATCCCCAGGAAACCGAAGAAGAAGATCTCATCTCCTCCATCTGCTACAACTCTTCCAGTTGCATCATCATCGCGAACAAACCAAGGATCAACCTCTGATCCAGCAAAACAGCCGTCGACCTCGGCTCCATACCTCATTCTACCATCCCAAAGAAAGCGTCGCCGACGTTTTGTTCTTGCAGCTGAGATGGGTCGTACAAAGCCAGTTGCTAAAGACCTCCTTGCCAACATTCCATCATCTATTGACAAACAACCAATACAAACCCAACCTCCAGAAAAACCAAAAAGAATTAAGAAAGCTCAACCGAAGGCGGGAGTGGCTCAGGTTGAGACTGAGGACACTTTGCCATCCCCACAACTGGCTCCAACTCAGAAAACTACCTCTGTCCCTTTGAAGAGGTCTGCCGAAGTACTTCCTTCCGAATCCTCCAAGTCAAAAAGGCCGAGGTCATCTGCAACGACTTCGGGGTTAAAGAAACCTCCTGTCCCCTGGGTCCCCGAGATCACCCTAGAGGATAAGCCTGTAATGGCAAATGACAACGCCGACGACATTAATGTCGGCGTTGCACTTGGTACCGCTTTACTTCTCCCAGGCGACTTGGAGCGGAACGCCAAGTACAGCGAGTATGAAAATTATGCCTTAATGTTACAGCACTCCATTCAGGTATACGTCTTCTTCTTGATAAATTTTTCTTTCTCTTTATTTTACACTTTAAATATTCTTTAATAACTTTGTTTTTCTTTCAGGCCATCCAGTACGCGCCATTCTTTCTCGATGCAGTATTTTGAGAATCGGCAAAAGCTGGCCGACATGAAGAAGAAGGTCTCTTCTATTCAAAAGATCAATAAAGGCCTTGAATCAAAAATGAAGAAGCTGGAGGATCAAGCTGAGGCTGCAATTAAAGCCCATAATAATGCCGAAGAGAAGGCTGAGACTGCTGAGGCTATCAGAAAAGTGTCCGATTCTCAAAGGAGAGAGGCCGAGGAAAAGATGGCCCAAGCTGAGAAAGAGCTTCAGGAGGCCCTGGCCACCAAAGAAGCTGAAATCAAAGAGGCCGACGAAAAGGCATATTCATAGGGTATGGCCGACGTCACTGAGGCCTATGAACTTCAAGTGAAACAGGCATGCAACAAAGGTTTCACCCTTGGTTGGATGTCTCTTCTGAAAAAACTAAATGTCCCTGATGAT